CATAAAGTTGGTGGCTCAAATCCCTCTGGGCTGGGGTTGGGCAGAAGGTAGACAGGGAGGTGGTTTGTGCACATGGGCAGAGCATGAGTGGAGGCTCAAGTTCTTGTTGACAGAGATCCTGGATGGGTGCTGGGGCAGCCAAGGGCAGCTTGAGAGCTGAGGCTGGGTAAATGCTGCTGTGGTGGTCCTCATCTGCACAGTCCACCAGCTTCCTTACACTGGAACCATGGATGGATCTTGCTCTGGGCCCCCTCCACAGAGTCGCTGGTGTGGATGACATTCCTGCTGATGTGGATGTTGAGGTCTCCTTGATGGTGCCAGGGGCAACCTCAGCTGAATCAGTGTGGACCACGTTGGAGCCTTCCAAGACCACGGCCCCACAGACCATGACCACTGCAGGGCTGGAGCTCCTATAGCTGGTGAGGGCTAAGAGGAAGGGCTTCCTCAGCAGGTCGCAGGTCATGGTGGTGCTCAGCAAGGATGCGTCTCCGGAACCTACAGCATCTTTGTCGCCACCTGCTTGAAGCCTGTCCTCTCAAAACACTAGATCTCATTCCTGATGACTTGCCTGTGCACCCCATCTGGCTTCACTGTGATCAGAGTCCACTCTTGGGTCCAGGAGGGCCCGCCTGAGCAGGGGTGCATGAGCCATCTCAGGCTGGGCAGATGGGCCACACAGCTGCCCCACAGCAAGGCACACCTGAAGAGGCTGCCCAGGCTGCCTGGCAGCCATGAGGAGCATTCCCCCTGATGCCCAAGCCCCCCCAAAGGAGCCCCTGTAATATATTTAAAGTGTATAAAGTGATGATTTGATATATGTATAAATTGTGAAAGGATTCCCACCCACAATCCAGTTACTTAGCACATACATCACCTCATTTATTTACCTTTTTTTGTTTGTTTGTTTTGGTGAGAACATTTAAGATCTACTCCTTTAGCATATTTCAGTTATATAATATAGTATTATCAATTATAGTCACCGTGTTAAACATTAGATCCTCAGACCTTATTCATCTTATAGCTGAAAGTTTGTTCCCTTTTACCAACCTTTCCTCATTTCCCCTACTCCTCAGGCTCTGACAACCACCATTGTACTCTGTTACCATGAGTTCTATTTTTTTTTCTTTTCTTTTTTTAGATTCCACATATAAATGATACCATATGGTATTTGTCTTTCACTGTCTGGCTTATTTCACTTAGCATAATGCCCTCCATGTTCATATATACTGTTGCGAAAAACAGGATTTCCTTCTTTTTTAAGGCTGAATAATATTCTACTGTATATATGTATATCACATTTTCTTGATCCATTTATCTGGCATTGGACACTTAGGTTGTTTCCCTACATTAGCTGTTGTGAATAATGCTGCTATGAACATGAGAGTACGGATATCTCTTTGATATAGTGATTTGTTTCCTTTGGATGTGTACCCAAAAATAGGATCACTGGATCATATAATAGTTTTATTTTCAATTTTTTGAGGAATCTCCATACTGTTTTCCATAGTGGCTGCACCAATTTACATTCCCACCACCAGTGCACAAGGGTTCCCTTTGTTCCACATCCTAGCCGACAGTTGTTATCTCGTCTTTTTGGTAATAGAAATCCTAACAGCTTGAGGTGATATCTCATTGTGGCTTTGATTTGCATTTCCCCAATGATTAGGGATGTTGAGAACCTTTTCATGTACCTGTTGGACGTTTGTATATCTTCTTTGCAAAAATGTTTATTCAAGTCCTTTGCCCATTTTTTAATTGAGTTATTTGTATTTTTGCTATTGGGTTGTATGAGTTCCTTGTATATTGGATATTAATCCCTTATCAGATTTGCAAATTCTATCAGATTTGCAGTTTTGCAAATATTTTCTCCCATTCAGTGGGTTTCTTTTTCATTTTATTGATGGTTTTCTTTGCCATGCAGAAGCTTTTTAGTTTGGTGTAGTCCTTCTTATTTTTTTTTTTTGCTTTTATTGCCTTTGCTTTTGTTGTCAAATCCAAATAATCATTCCCAAGGCTGATGTCAAGGAGTTTACCCCTGTGTTTTCCTAGGACTTTTATGATTTTGCATCTTATGTTTAAGTCTTTAATCCATTTTGAGTTGATTTTTGTATGTGGTGTAAGATAGTGACCTAGTTTCATTCTTTTGCATGTGGCTGTCCAGTTTTCCCAACACCATCTATTGAAGAGACTATCCCTTCCCCATTGTACTTATATTCTTGGCTCTTCTGTCATAAATTAATTGACCATATGTATGGGTTTATTTCTGGGCTCTCTATACTCTTCCATTGATCTATGTGTCTGTTTTTATGCCAATACTATACTGTTTTGATTACTATAGCTTTGTAATATAGTTCAAAATCAGGAAGTGTGATGTCTTCAGCTTTGTTCTTCTTTCTCAAGATTACTTTGACTTTTCAGGGTCTTGTGGTTTCATACAAATTTTAGGATTTTTTATTTTTATTTTTATGAAAAATGCCATTGGAATTTGTATAGAGATTGCATTGAATCTGTAGATTGCTTTGAGTAGTATGGACATTTTAACAATATTAATTCTTCCAGTCCATGAGCATGGAATATCTTTCCATTTATTTGTGTTGTTTAATATCTACATATTTGTGAATTTTCAAGTTTTCTTCTTGTAATTGATTTCTAGTTTCATACCATTTTGGTTGGAAAAGATGCTTGATATTATTTCAATATTCTTAAATTTATTAAGGCTTGTTTTTTGGCCTAACATGTGATGTATCCTGGAGAATGTTCCACATGTTGAGAAGAATGTGTGTTTTGCTGCTGTTAGATGAAACATTCTGTGTATATCTAATAGGCCTATCTGGTGTAATGTATAGTTCAAGTCCAATGTTTGCTTATTGATTTTCTGTCTGGATGATCATTGTTGAAAGTGGGATATGAATTAAATTATTTTTTAAGGATCCTGGATTTGTTCCCAAAGTTCTTATGTCAAGTTCTTTATCTACATTTTTAAATTAAATTCCTAATTTCTGTTCTCTTTTCTAAAAATGTAAACCTATTTCTGCAGAATCTTGCAATGGTATACTTCCATTTTACCCATCTCATCCTTTGTGCTATGCTGTGTCATGTGTTTTGCTTTTTATAAGCTACAAAAATCATAATACATTATTATTTTATTTTGCTTTGAACATCTAATTGTATTTTAAAGAAAGTTAAAGTGATAAAAATATCCTTTTTATTTATCCACATGTTTACCATATTTGGTGCTCTTCATTCCTTTGTGTAGATTGCAGTTTCCACCTGGTATCATTTCCTTCTGCTGAAGAACTTTCTTTAATGTTTCTCTTAGTGGAAGTCTGTTGGTCATGAATTCTCTGACCTTTTTGTTTTTTTTAAAAATTTATTTCTTTCATCTTCAATTTTGAGAGATAATTTCACTGGGTATAGAATACTAAGTTGACAGTTTGGTTTTTAATTTCAATACCTTAAAAATGTCTCTTTAGGGCCAGCCCGGTGGCATAGTGGTTAAGTTCACATCCTCCACTCTGGCAGCCTGCAGTACGTGGGTTTGGATCCCAGGCGCGGACCTACATACCACTCATCAAGCCATGCTGTAGCAGCATCCCACATACAAAATGGAGGAAGATGGGCACGGATGTTAGCCCAGGGCCAATCTTCCTTAGCAAAAGGAGGAGGATTGGCAACGGATGTTAGCTCAGGGCTAATCTTCCACACACACGCGCGCGCGCGCACACACACACACACACACAAAAAATGTCTCTTTATTGTCTTCTGACTTGCACATTATCTGATGACAAACCTGCTGTACTTCTTGTATTTGTAAATTCTGTGTATAATTTTTTGTTTTTCCCTCTCTGGTTGCTTTAAACATTTTCTCTTTTTCATTGGTTTTCAGCAATTTGATTCTTATCTGCTATGGCGTAGATCTTTTATTGTTTTTTTTTTATTAATTCTACTTGTGTTTCATTGAGATTCTTGGTTGTGTAGGTTTATAGTTTTCATCAAATTTGGTAAAATTTTGGCTCTATTTCTGCTAATATTTTTGCTTCCCCTCTTTTTTCCAGGGCTCCCATTACATGTATGTTAGATTTCTTGATAAGATCCCACATATCACTGATGCTCTGTTCATTTTTATTTTTAGTCTTCTTTTTTTTCTGTTTTCTGTTTTGGATAGTTTCTTTTGTTTTATCTTAAAGTTCACTGATCTTTCATTCTGCTCTGTTTACTTTGCTGTTAGTCTCACCTGGCATATTTTTCATTTCCTGCTGTTAATAGTATCCAGGTATTTTTAATTTCAGATATTATATTTTTAAAATTTAGAAGTTTCATTTGAGTCTTCTTTATATCTTCCATTTTTCTCCTCATTATGGTCATGCTTTCCTTTACTTATTAAAGATATAGTACATATTTGTTATACCTTTTTAATATTCTTTTCTGCTGGTTTCATCCTATATGTCGTTTTTGGGTTTGTTACTGTTGCTTGATTTTTTTTTCTGGATATGCATCATATTTTCCTGTTTCTTTGCATGCATAGTAATTTTTTAATGGATGCTGTGTATTATGAATCTTGTATTGTTGGCTGCTGAATTTCATTTTATTCATTTAAATAATATTTATAATCCAGTCCTATAAACTTTTCAGCTCTCTCTGTTTTTTGTTTTGTGGCTGTTTTCCTTTTTTGCTGTTATAGATATGGATTTAAATTTTTTATGTTTTTGTGAGCATTTAAAAAAAAAGAAATTTGTGGTTGCATCCTACATTGCATTCACATCTATCTTACCTGAAGTCCAGAATCATGGAAAAATATTGGCTCCTTGGATCTCTGCTGGGCATTTGAGGGAGGAAATTTTGAAGCTAATGCACAGTGCATACACATAGAGGTTTGGCTATTGAAACATTCGGCTTTCTTCACAGTAGACATAGGCCAGCTGCTATATGAAAACTGGAGGAGTCAATCTGGAGTCAGAGTAAGGTGAAAGGTTTTTATATTTCTCTTTTTTCCATTGCAGGCATGTTCCCTGGAACCTTCATGAGCCAAAAAGAAGCCAATTTTATTTTACTGGAAACCTGGATTTGAAGTATGTCTTAATGCCTAAAATGCCTGTTTCTCTGGCTCAGAGACAGGGCTGTGACTCTGTGGCGTCAGCCGAAGCAATAGGGGGCACCTTACTTTCTGCTTTAGAACCATCAGGAAGCTCTGATAATTTTGTTCCCTGGAGTGAAGCCCTTCTGAGCAGTGATTCCGTTATTTGTGGGGGAGCCTAGACCTTAGTGTCTTTGGTGCATTTTACTCACAGCGTGGTTTAGAAAGTGTCCCTCCAGAGTCTGCAGTTTTAATCTATCATGAGGAATCTTCTGTCTCAGTTATAAGAGGAGGTTTCTGGGCGATAGTTTACAGGGTTTCTAAGACATGACACAGTTGATTGTTTATTCAAAAATATGTATTAGCCATCTGCTATAGTTCAGACATTGTCTTTGGTGCTGGAGATGGACAGGGGATATACTTTGTGCTGTCAGGAGTAAGGATTGTCTGTAGAGAGTGAGGCACATAACAACATACTAAGGACACACAACCCAAACTAGGGGAACAGATCTGGGAAGACAACAGTGAAGTTACAGCTGAAGGAAATGAGAATGTTGAGCAGAAGTTAGCTAGAGGGGGCTGAATGGTATTTCAGGCAGAAGGTTCAGCAAGGGCAAAGTCAGAGGTGTGAGAGAACACTTTAAATCGATGAAGGAGATGTTCACTGCTGTAACAGGTAAGCCTCAACATCTTTTAACAATAAAGGTTTATTTGCATTTAAGTAAAATGTAAAATAGGTATTCCTGGTGAGCATATGTCTCTCTTCTAAGAAATAAGTGAGGGCTTTAGGATCTTTCTATCTTGTGGCTTCAACATCTTCGTCACGTAGCTTGCAAACCACCACATCTGCATCAAGCCAGTAATTGGAAGAAAGAGCGTGGAGAATCTTTTTGGGGAATTGGAACACATGGCTTCTGTTCACATTCTGTTGGCTCGCAGTTTGTTGTATAGCCACATCTAAAGGCATGGGAAGCTGGGAAATGTAGTTGAGCTGTGTGCCCAGGAAGAAAAGGGAATTGATTTGGTGATTAGCTTTCTACCATACATTATATTTTCTGGGAACTGCAAGTAATGCTGTCTGGCTCTCCTCTCCTACTAGTTAAGTGGAGGAACTCTCAAAAAATAAAGCCAGAGAGATAGTTGACCACATCTTGGCTTTCTATACCATGTTACAGAATTTGGAATCTATTTTGAAGGCCATGGAGAGTCATTTGAAGAATTTTAATTTGAGAAGTTCCTATTTGCATAGAAAGATCATACCAGCAGTATCTTTAAGAGGCAGAATAACGTGGGAGTCAAGATGTCATTTCTGGAGGCTCTCTGCCTGATTGTACGTTTAGCTCTTCCATTTACTCAAAAGGTGACCCTGAGGAAACTCTGACTCCTTTAATCTTTTACTTTCTAATCTGTAAAATGGAGGCCATATTGGTACCTATCTCATAGAATTGTCAAATAAAATAATAAACTTAAAGAATGGAGTGTGGTGCCTGATGCTGATGCAAGGTAATAACGAGCTCCTATTTTTGCTTTGTTGATGATAGTGTTATTGACAGTGACTGGAGAAGTACTGGCAGAAGGTGAGAATGAAGGGAGGAAAGCAGTCAGAAAACCGTCGTAACAACTCAGATGTGAAGCGATGAGTTCTTGAACCAGCCTGGTCACAGTAGGAATTCAGGGGAGTTTCATGTTTGAAAATGTTAAGTAGGAGAGATAAGCATGATGTGGTGACTCACTGAAAGTAGGAGATGAGGAAGAAAGAGGAGCAAGGATGATTTGTAAGTGTCTGTCTTACGTGGCTTTCTTGCAGGGCGGTGCCACTCATGAGGTAGGAGATGTAGGAGGAGGAGGGGGTTTAGGAGGGAAGGTTGGTGTCTGGTTTAGGATTTCTGGACCTTCACTTCAATGTCCTGCTCTCTAGAGCCTTGACTGAGCCCCTTTCTTAGAGTGTAGGGCTCCCTGTCCCTCTAGGTCATGTCTCCCACAAGGACTTTTGTAGATGAGGCTGGGAGCTCACCCATTCTAACCTCAGAAGAAGACCTAGAGGAGAAATATAGCAGTGATTCCAGGCCTCAGCTTTTGATGTGAAATTATCTCGATTGCTTCACTTCCCAGGGCTTTTCTATTCATGGCTTCAGAGGTGGGGCTGTGGGTCATTCTGTGTCCAGGCCCCTACATCGGTAGTGACTTAGACCTTGGAGGCTTACCCAGGTAAGTAGTGCTCTGAGGCCCCTGGCTGTGCATCCGTGTGTGCCCCAAGCACATTCAAATGTAAGTTAGAGCAAAGGGTTTGGCTTGGTTTCTATGTACATTGTCTGTCTGCACTATTTTTTTCCATTTAATGACATAGGATAAACTTTAAAATATTGGGAATTGTATGGTATTTGTTTTTTATAAACCTCTGCCTCATCTCTGCAATGCCAATGAAGTACTTTTTTTTTTTTTTTTAAATAAAAACTAATGGCTACCAACTTAGCAATATCTTGATAAGTTCTAGTTTTTGTGGTGGCAGTCCAAATAGCAAGAAATCAGGTTATCTCTTTTTAAAGAGGGTTTCTTTTTCTTTTTTTTTTGCTTCCAATAGTTCTTTTTTTATTGTAGTAAGATACACATAACATAGAATTTGCCATTTAAAGTGTGCAATTTTGTGACAATTAAGTACATCAAAAATGTTGAACAGCCATCACCACTATCTAGTTTAAGAACTTTTTCATCACCCAAAAAGGAAACTCTATGTCCAGCCACTCTCCATGCCTCCTTCCCCCCAGCCCCTGGCAACCACTAATTTGCTTTCAGTCTGTATGTATTTGCCTATTCTGTATATTTAATATAAATGGAATTATGCAATATGTAACCTTTTGTATCTGACATCTTTCCCTTAGCATAATGTTTTCAAGGTTCATCCATGTTGTAGCATGTACCAGTTCTTCATTCCTTTTTATGGCCAAATAATATTCCATTAAAGTGCATTTTTAAAAAACTTTGAAACAGCTTTATAAAAATCTCACTCCAGACTAGGGATTGGCAAACTTTTTCTGTAAAAGGCCAGACAATAAATATTTTTAGCTTTGAGGGCCACATGCAATCTCAGTTGCCACTGCTGAATCCTGCTGTTGTGGCACGAAGGCAGCCATGATAATCTGTAAACAAATGGGTGTGGCTGGGTTCCAATAAAACTTTATTGACAGAAACAGACAGTGGCTCTGATTTGGCCTGTGGGCTGTAGTTTGATGACCCTGCTCTAGACCATTTCATCATTATACAACCTTCATTTGTATTTTTAGGAAAGAGGTGGTGGCGAAGGTGCTGAGCTGTTTATAAGTGGAACACTGACTGCGTTTTCTTAATGATGGATTAAAATCTCACAGTGTGCTGTTCTAGTGTGGCTGTGCAAATTTGGGCTGTCCATGTTTTCCAGCCTCATATGCTCGAGCATTTCTTATTGTTGCCTCCCACCCCAAGTCTGAGTCTTGCCTTTTTAATCCTAGCTGGTTACTCCAGGATCCAAAAATGAAGCTGAGAACAACTTACAAGGGCTTCACTAAAGCAGTGAATCACTATTTTGATGTGCTCATTCCCAGGATAGTACCACTGCAGGTATAACCCAACTCCACATCTCTACAACCAGGGAAAGTAGTTGCCTGAATTGATTTCCTGGATAGGGCTAGCCTACTTTCTATCATTCAGAAGCAGGAAGCATATGTAGCAACTCATTCCAATCCTTATTTAAGAAATATCAGGGCAATATTTTTATTGCCCTGCTTTTATGCCTTTTCCCCATCTACTGCCCAACTGAATGCCTTTTTCCTGACAGTATGCTTGGAACTGCACTGTGTATATTTTCGTTCTATCTTCTCCATTATTTCTTTGCTCTCGATCACCATAAATGGGAAATTAATGATAGTCCTCCAGATGTCTTAATTTAACTGCTAAAGATAGCTACTTGTCAGTCCTTCACAAATAATAGATTATATAGATGACCTTAGGTCAGTGATTTTGTAGAAGTTGCAATTTATTTGATTTTTAATATACCTCCACTGCAATAAAACCATGGTATCATACATACTCATTGGTTAAATAGAAATAGTGTGCCACTATATTTCTAAAATGGTTGGAAAATGTAAGAAGGACTATATACTAGGTAAAAAATGAGCAGAAGGAAGGAGCAAATATATAACGTCTATTAGGTGTCATGCTTTGCACGAGGCAATTAACAATTATCTAGCATATTTCATCCTCACAATAATCATTTGAAGGAGGTTGAATGGAGGCAATGACAGGTTTGTACATGGCCAGGAGAGGGCTTCACATAATGTAAATTTACTGGGGACAGAGTTGGTTCCTAACATTGTGAGTATCCCAGAGTTAATCAGGCTCACGGAAGCCATTAAAACTAAGTGACTGAAGAGTGTGAATCAGTGTGCTATTTGGGGGATAGTAGAGATAGTCCTTTACGGAAATTAAAGCGCCGCTGTCCAATATGATAGCCACAGCCACCGGCAGCTATTTAAATTTAAATAAATTAAAATTAAATAAAAAATTCAGTTCCTCATTCACACCAGACACATTTCAAGTGCTCAGTAGCCACACATGGATATGCTCAAAAATGTTGAGTGCCAATACAGAACATTTTCGTCATTGCAGAAAGTTCTGCTGGCCAGCATTGAACTAGAGTGCTCGCCCCAAATCAGCACTTCTCAGTCTTGAAACTCCTGGAAAACTAAATTAGCATTCGGAAGTTTGCTTGGTGAGTGCGAAATCAGGGCCTCAGCAGGTCAGGAGGTCTCAAAAGCATTTTATCATGGTCTTATGAATCAGCACTTGCAGCTGAGTTCCCTTCTTTTAGAACTTTCTGTTGTATTTATCATGTACAGGGTCTCTTGCTTTGGATAATCCCAGGTACTGTCAACTTCTGAGTCTTTCCTCTTTCCTTTTCTGTTCTCTAATCTGCTGGATTCCTCCTTGGATGAGTGAGAAGGGGGAAGAGAGAAGCAGGTTTTGATAAAACTTTTCGATGTTTGTCAGCAGAGAATGAGATTTAAAGGTTTGAGAAACACTCTTTTAGGTTTTCTGTCCTCTTTCTCCCCTATCAGGGTATAGTACAGTCAGTTATTCCTTGCTTGCTAAATATTCTCCCATTTCAACTCTTTCCACCCGGAGTTTCTCCTAGATCATGATGATCACAGTTTTTGATGTACAAACACTTCAGTTACACTTATACATAGTCCCAGGTGTTGCCCAGATTCTTACTTGCATTGTTGGCATGGAGTTTAATTTTTAGAGGTCAACACTATTTTTCTTATTTCTGCATGCTGGGAGGGGTACCTCATGGCTTCCCATGAATGTGTCTCCAAGAGGAGTTGAGGAGGTGCAGAAGTGGGCACAATGAAACTTGATTAGGGTGTGGTAGGTACAAAATATGGAGAGAAAACATGACAGCTGGACTCGAGAGAGCTATTAAGATGGGGATAATGGAGCATGTTAACATCGACAGAAAGGAACCAACAGGGAGGGAAAATGAGAAGATATTTGCAAGAGGGCATAATTGAGAGAGCAGAAGGGGATATGATCCAGCACAAAGTTGGGATTAATAGAGAACCATGAGAAACATTTAAGAGGTGAGTAGGGCAAGAGGAGCTCGCAAAGGAGTCTGAGGAGAAGTGACCAGAGAGGCAGGCCGGAAACTAGGAGAAGACATGTTGCAGAATACAGCAGAAGAGAGAGTTTCAAAAAGGAGAAGATAGCCAAGGGTGTCAAATGTTGCTGAGGGATAAACTAAATTCGGATTAAAATTTACTGCTGGAATTTAGCAAAGAGAGGGTCAACGTTAATAATTTAGGGGGAATGGAAAGAGTGGAAGAGAGACCACAGTGAGTAAAGGGGTAGATGAGAAGATAAGAAGTCAAGAGTGAGTGCAGAAATATTTCACAGAGTTTGTCCATGAAGATGAAGAGGGCAAGAGAGTGGTAACTGGAGGCAGAAGTGGTCCAGGCAAGTTATTTTTAACGTAGGACTTTGAGTCAATTTAAATGATGATGAGAATAGTTTAGTAAAGAAAGAGATGAAGATACAGAAGACAGAGGGATACTCCAAAGAGCAAAGTTCCTGAGAAGTGGGAAGGAGATGAGATCCAGCACACATGAGGTAAGACTTGGATAGGATGGTAATAGGATAAGAGGATAATAGGATAAGACTTGGATAGGATAGGTTAGGTAGTGGTTGGATAGGATGAGGGACATTTTACTCATTTAACTAGTGCTAAGGTAGAAAGGGTGGAAGTGGAGGTTTGAAACCTCAAGCTTAAGGCATTGAATTTGGGGAAAAATGATGGGAGTTAATTAGGGAGTAGTAGGAAAGGTAGGACTCTAAGAGCAGTTGACCTCCTAGAGGTGACTGCTGACTGTGGAGTAAGAGAAGTTGTCTGAACTTTAGTGTAACTTGGAGTTGAGTTTAAGAATATGTTATTTTTATGGCACTCCAAAAATTTATGTGCAACAGCAAGTTGAGAAAATCTAGCCTTTCCCCACCAGTAGCCTCACTCTCAAACTCTCATCTCTTTGACCCTCAGTACAAAAAGGGAGGCCCCGTCATTGCTGTGCAGGTCGAGAATGAGTATGGTTCATATCATCTGGATAAAAGATACATGTCATATATTAAGAAGGTTAGTTCTCCTTTAATTTTTCTCTATATTTACATGCTTCTTTTTTCACTCTGTTAGTTTGTGGAGCAAACATGTCCTGAGTAGCTATAGCTTGCATGATACCATGGGATGTGAAGATGAATAAGATCCAGTGTAATTTTTCCCATGCTTTTACATCCTATAGAGGGGACTGGAAACTACCCACACAACTCTAATGTAAGGCAAAAGTGATGTTAAAATATTTTTTCTCTCTGTGGATATCACAGCTCTCTTTTGGTTAGTGTTTGTATAATACATACTTTTCTATCCTTTTACTTTTAACTTTTCTATATCCACATATTTAAGGTACATACTTTGTAAACAGTGTATAATTAGAATTTGTTTTTGTTAATCCATTATGAAAATTCTTGTCTTTTAAATGAGATATTTGGTTTGTTTACATTTAATATAATTACATTTGCATTTAAATCTACCATTTTGTTATTTTCTATTTTTCCTACTTGTTCCATGGTCCTTTGTCTCTTCTTTCTTCTTTTGGATTGAGTGTTTTTTATTATTCCATTTTCTCCTCTATTAGCTTGTTATCATTTTTCACTTTTCTTTTAGAATTGGCCATAGAGACTACTGTATTCATCCTTGAATTATTAATGTCTAATATAAGTTAGTATGTTTGCCAATTCCAAGGTAAAGAAGCACCTGAGAACAGTTTAATTGCATTTTCCTCCCTTCTATCTTAGGTACTATTTTGTTGTCATTTCTTTTAATGCTGTATATATTTTAGACTCACAAGACATTATTATTTTTATTGTTATACGGAGTCATTTAGATTTACCCACATGATTTACTTTTTGTTGCTTTTCCCCTCTGCATCTCTGAGCTTCATCTCCCTTATCATTTTCCTCTGCCTGGAAAACACCTTTTTGTATTTTCTTTGTCACAATATGCTGTTAAATTCTTTCACCTTTTGTTTGTTTGAAAGTGTGTCTAGTTCACCATCATTTTTGAAGGATATTTTTGCTGTACGTAGAATTCTAGGTTGGCAATTATTTTCTTTGAGGATTCTCTGGTATACTTTGTTTCTATTAAGAAGTCAAGTATCGATAAGATTATTGTTCCTTTGAAGGTAAAATGTCTTTTTTCTTTGGCCTCTTTTAAGATTTCTTTCTTTGTTTTTTAGCAATTTTACTAGGATTTGGCTAGGTGTGGTTTTCTTTTGACTTATCCTGCTTACATTTATTTATGTTTTTTGTGAGGAGATCGGCTCTGTGCTAACATCTGCCGATCTTCCTCTTTTTTTTTTTTTGGCTGAGGAAGACTGGTCCTGGCTTAACATCCGTGCGCATCTTCCTCCACTTTATATGGGATGCTGCCACAGCATGTCTTGCCAAGCAGTGTGTTGGTGCGCGCCCGGGATCTGAAGCAGCGAAGCCTGAGCCGCCACAGTGGAGCATGCGCACTTAACCACTTGCGCCACTGGGCCGGCCCCCTGCTTACATTTTTGCACTCAACAATTTGTGGCTTGAAGTGTTTAATCAGTTTTAGAAAATTCTCAGCAATTATCTGCTCCATTTTCTCTCTCTTCTCCTCTGGGACTTCGATTACACAAACGTTAGATATTTTCGTCATATCCCACATATCTATAAAGCTCTTTTCTGGATAATTTCTTCTATACTATCTTCTAATTTATTAATTTTCTCTTCAGCTTTGTCTAATTTGATGTTAAAACTGCCCCATTATGTTCTTAATTTCAGATCTTTTAACTTTTAGTTCTAAAATTTTCGTTTGATTCTTTTCTATAGTTTCCATTTCTTTGCCAAAATTTTCCATTTTTCTTTAATTCCTTGAACGTATTAATTATAGTTATTTCAAAATCTATGTCTTAATAGACCTAATATCTGATCTTGTATATATCTGTTTCTGTTGTTTTTTTCTCATGGTTTCAGTAAAGTATTTTAACAATTTTTCAATCAGATGTCAGACATTTATTTATGAAAACGCTATTGAGATCATTGAAGCTCTTGACAATCTTTCGGATGAATTTATTTTTGCTTCTGGAAGGTCATTGCAATAATTTGGAGCTGAGCTTCAATCATGAGAGCAAGTCTCATTCTTGTTCACCCTCATTCCTGGTGGGTAGCGCTTTGGGTCCCAGCTGAAAGCCTAGGGTTTGTCATGGCCCCTCCACCTTGGCAGTCCCTGAACTGCAATTTCTTTCCCCAAGTCTTCTAAAGTTGCTGAGAAATCTGCTCAGCTTCTCAGCCTCTCAGCTGATGCTTTAGGAATCAGCTGATGTCTCAAGGGAGAAGCTGTGAGAAATGCTAGATTCATCTCTCTAACTCCCTGGGAACTTGGATCCTCAAGTCCTGCCTTGATATATATCTAGTATCTTCAAATAAGTTTTTAAAAAATATTTTTGTCCAGCTTGTCTAGTTGTTATTAGAAGGAAGGTTAGTCTGAAACAAAATGGTTCACCATCCCTAGAAGTGAAACCTGTTGCTGCTATCCCTGTGAGTAGAATCCGTGAGTCTCTCTTTCATTCTCAAGTGTTCTAGTTTAGATAAAAAGCTGCATGGCCACCTACCAATAAGCCATATTGCTCACTGGGGCTAGAGGCTTGAAACATTGCTTCTGATAGCACCTGTTGTGGTGGAGGGTGGACTGGGATTAATGCATGACACGCTGGCTCCTCTCACTTATTTGATTCACCTCTCAGTCTTCCCTGTTTTTCAAGAAGACTTCAATAGAAGCAAACTACCTCCTTATACCCAACAAGTGTGGGGTTAGTGTGGGGACTATTGCAGGGACAGTTTCACTGTCAGGACATTCTGATCAAAGACCCAGGAAGGCATACCTTTGGCTTTTCTCAGTACCCACAGCCATTGTCTCAGTGTTTTACTCCTTAAGTAGGTAAGTTCCTTAGCCTCTTCTCTCTGTGTTTGATTTAGAATCTCCTCGAGTTACTTCTAGTTAAAGTAGGGACAATAAAGGTTCGTGCAGCAATAAGTTTGACCATGGATTGACTAAGCCAAAACCTACCTGAGTTTGCCGTTGACCAAAGGAAAACCAGCAGTTGTGTGTGTGTGTGTTCCCAAATCCATCCTATAATTGGGCCCATAGGGTATAGTTAATTTGAGTGAAAGTGTGGAGGAAGAAGTTTGTCTGAAGCTCTCTGAGGCACTGGAGAAAATCCAGGATTCAGATCCTTAGGGGAAGGCACTGTATTAAGGTGAACGCAGACAATCCCACTGCCTCTTCCTTTAGGTTTGACCTTGTCATTGTTACCTTGGCCTTGCTGAGTGTAGCTGAGGCAGGAATGATGTTTACTAACTTACAAATAGTTGGATGGGGTAATTAGACCTTCTCTTCCATTTCTCAGCTTTATTCCCATATTTTTGTTGCCATCACTTTTTCTAGAGAGAAGCAGTCCCATGGGATCAGGGACAGTCATTTACCTTGCTGAATTTCTCTACAGGTGCTGGTGACAAGAGGGGTGGAGGTGCTGCTCATGACTGCTGATGATGGACAAGAACTGATAAGAGGCCACCTGAAGAAGGGTACAATTTTGTTTTTGCCCTATTTCCTCTACTAGTTGAGTCTGAAACAGACGGGAGTCCTTCTGATGCTTCCTTTTTCCCATTTCCCGTGGCTGGGGCCCCAGAGTCTTTAGGTAAAAGTGGTGGGGCTGAGTTAAGGAGCCAGTCCCCGCCTTGCTGCCCCACTAGCTATTTCCCTCAGAGCCCCAACAGTGCATAACACTTACTCCATCCTCTTCAATCCTTGGTGGCCAAAGTGGGGCCTGGCTGGGACAGAGTAAAGGCCATCTCTGTCGTTGCCAAATGGCCATGGCTGAGCAACAGGAAGTGGATGCAGTGTCAGAGAAACAGTACTGCCACAGACCTACCCCAGGAGCTTAGGGACAAATAATCTAGGAACCAAAGCAGTAGAGAAACATAGGATAGAATTATAGGGAGGAAATATGGGTTGATACACAGCAACATGGAGAAAGGAAACGTGCAGACACAGAGCCAGAGAACACTTGTGGAATTCTTTACCCTAAGCAGTCTGCCAGGCGCATTCTCCTCTGCTGGTCTCTCCCCAGGTTGTTTGGTGGCCCTTTGTCTTGTGGTGGAAGAGGCAGAACAGAGTTCTGGGTTAGAAGTCAGGAGATCTATAGTCAAGTTTTAGGTCTTGGGCTCTTCACCTCTCTGGGCTCAAGTTCTTGATTTGGCTTTCATTTATTCATCAGCATAATGTGGTTTATTTAAATGCCCTTGTTTTCTGGAAGCGCTTTGTGTAGTGCACGTGTGCATACAGATTATATCATTGACTGTAAGCCATGATGTGTTAGTGTGAATATCTGTGAGGGGTATCTGCAGGATGCGTCGACGCCCAGCTCTCCGTCCTGGGTCCAGGAGTAAGTTTTCTCCCCTGCCTGACAGTGCTTGGAGCTGGACCTTATGCAGAGTTTCTCCTTTTCCTCCACAGTGATTGCCACTGTCCACATGAGGAATATAAAGAAAGAAACTTATCAAAAGCTCTCTTCAGTTCAAGTAAGGACATTTCAGGGATGGGAGACATTTTGATTCTTGCTCATGCTAGGACCTCTTCGCTCATTTGTTGGGGAAATTCTCAGCAGTGATTAGTTCAGTTAAACCTTGCGTTTATTATGCCCTTGAAATGCCTGCTCTAGGTGATTTTCGGTGCAACTAAATCAAATTCACATGCCTACAATGCCTGGCCCATGGCCCCTTCAAAGGACACAGGATGGGAAACATAGCCTACTAGCAGGGCAGCATCAGTGGGAGTCCTCACAGCAGTCCAGGGGCCATGCGCCCAGCTGACAGCTTGGGTGTCAGGGAATGGGAGCACACACATGAGTGGGAGCCATCCTGGCAGAGGAGCCTCAGCTCGGTATAGGAACCAACCAGTATCCCTTGTCATAGCTCCATAGCCGTAGCTTCTGGGTCTGCTAAGGGGAACTCTTGGTTTCAAGATACACAGCACTCAGGGAGCTATTGCTCCCATCAGGAATTGATACATCATTCATACTCCTCCAGGCCAGAGGCAGTTTCCTAATCAGAGGTCATTTTTATCATAGCAATCTGCCTGATAACATGGGTAACATTCTACCTTTATCAGGTTTTCAGTGGACCTAAAGTCAATTTGCATGAGACAGAGAAAGATTTTTGTTAACCCTTTACTCATAGCCCCATTCACCTTTAACTACTTGTAGTCTAATGAGAAAGACAAGAAATGTAAATAAACAACACAAAATAGGAAGTGCTAAATGCAATAAAAGTATTAATGGGTAACTGGAGGTCAGAGAGTGGCATAGATTTCTACCCCAGAGGAAATCAGTGGTTACATGTGTCATTTTGCACAGAACTGAGCCATATGGTATTAGGAGCAAAAGAAGCCATCTGTTAATTACCATCAACATAAGGCAATGCCTGGAATTCTAAGTTAAATTCCTAATCCTGTCCTCCTGCAGTCTGAGACAGCACTAAGATTTAGAGAAGAGTACAAAGGCCTGAGAATCCAGCCACATAATGACAGGACCAACATCAGGAAATGGTGCAGGTAGTGCGGAGATGTGCAGGGATTGGGGTGAGTGCATTCCAAGAGGATATGAAGAGGGAAGACAATTCTTGGACAAAGTAAACATTCAGTTAGATGCTAACATCATGATGATGATGGTGATAATGATGGAGGAGGAGGAAGAATGGGAGGGCAATGAAACCAGTGGAAAAGGCAACCTCTGGAATGGGAAAAAATATTTGCAAACCACATATCTGGTAAGGGGTTAATATCCAAAATATACAAGGAACTCATACTACTCAGTAGCAAAAAACCAAAATAACCCAATTAAAAAACGAGCAAAAGATCTGAATGGACATTTTTCCGAAGAAGACATACAAATGTCCAACAGGTACATGAAAAGGCACTCAACATCCCTAATTATTGGGGAAATGCAAATCAAAGACACAATAAGACATCAGCCCACACCTGTCAGGATGTCTGTTATTTAAAAGGCAAGAGATGACAAGTGCTGGGGGGATGTGGAGAAGAGGAAGCCCTGTGCACTGCTGGTGGGAATGCAAACTGGCACAGCCATTGTGGAAAACAGCATGGAGGTTCATCAAGAAATTAAAAACAGAGCTACCATCTGATCCGGCAATCTCGCCTCTGGGTGTATATGCAAAGGAAATGAAATTGTTATCCTGAGGAGATATCTGGACTCCTGTGTTCATAGCAGCATAATAATAGCCAAGGTATGGAAACAACCTAAGTGTGTGGTGACAGATGAATGGATAAAGAAAATGTGGTGTATATATATAAAATGGAATATATTCAGCTTTAAAAAAGAAGGAAATCTGTCATTTGTGACAACATGGATGAACCTGGAGAGCATTATGCTAAGTGAAATAAGCCAGACAGCAAAAGACAAATAACAAATACTGTATGGTATCACTTCTGTGTGGAATCTACAAAAGGAAAAAGTGAACTCATAAAACAGAGAGTAGAAAAGTGGTTGCCAGAGGCTGGGGGTTGGGGGAAACAGGGAGAGGCTGGTAAAAGGGAACAAACTTTCACTTAAAAGATAAATAAGGTCTGAGGATCTAATGTATAGTATGGTGACTATAGTTGATGATACTGTATTGTATAGTTGAGATTTCTTAAGAGAGTAAAATGTAAATGTTCTTACCAAAAAAAAAAGTAAAAAATGGAACTTGAGAATGAGTCTCACATTAAAGGTGAGATTCATTTGGTGGCATCTTTAAAATTTAGGAGTATTTTCACGTGAAAGGGAAATTCTTTGTAGTACTGGAGAACAGAATTAGTTTCAATGGGTAAAATGAATAACAAAACATATATTGCCTCAATATAAGGGTTGTAATTTCTAGCAATCTGAATTCTTAAAAAATGGGATGGACTGCCTTGTGTGGCAATGAATTCCCCATCACATGAGAACAGAGAGGCTGAAGAATGCCTGTGTGTGGTCCACTGTGTAGAGATGGCAATGCCTACTGAGGGGAGAAGTGATATACTAGACAAGCTCAAAGAAGAAATCTTTTCTAATGTGAGAATCTGTGATTTGGGGATTCTGTGAGATTGAGGGGAAGGCAGATTGAGGGGAAGGAAGCTGCAGGAGCTGGAACCACATGGCTTCAGTTTAATTAGCTTTAAAGGAGTGAGAACATTATTTTTGGAATTGAATAGAATTAAAAAAAAATGTTAAATGTAAAGAATGCTGGGCAGAAATACATATAAAGTTAAGTCAAATCGCATGATTTTGTGGTGGTCAAGTTGGCAGTGTTTTTTGACTTTCTTGAAAGGATTTGGCAGCTTAGGCCTGAATGTGGATGCTGCAGGGGGCTGGATGTAAGGGCTCCAGAGTTAAGTTGTGGCAGCAAGGAAAGCAGGAATTCAAAGGATGAGTTAACATTGCAGTGCGAGAAGGAGCGTGATTGAAAAGGCTAACTTCCAGTCTAAACCTGAAGAGTGAGGCTTGTTATCCCAATGGCTTGGAAGGTGAAGGAACTAGAGATGACACAGGGATGGCAAAAGGGAGGAGTGGGAGCTGAGAGATGTGTGGGAATTCTGGGATTCAGGAATTCTCATTTATGGGATTCAACATTTTGGGCAGTCATTTGTTGAACATTTTCAGTGCTTCCTCTGGGTCAGGCACTTTCTTACTAGACCTCTACTCTGGTCACTCAAGGGAATGAAGAGACTCTATTGTTCTAGAAAGGGAAATGTGATGATGGCAGTTGATTTTACCAAAGCCTGAGCAAGAAGGCCAGTGAAACCACACCAGTAATAACGAGACCAGGAAATGATGTGCAAATGGGAGAGTAGAACTCAGTGAGGGGCTGCTCCAGCTCGTAAAGGGAGTTTGTGAACTGGGCCTTACAGTTCCCTCCTAAGCAATTCAGGGCTTCTCAATGGCACCAAACTTGATGAAATGGACACTTCATTTTCCTCAGGGTCATAGCCCCATACTGATGATGGTATATACAGCAAACTCTTTGGACGGATGGGGCACTGCCTGCCATACTCTGGATTCACATGGTGAGTACTCCTTAGTTCCTTTCTCGGGAGAATAGATGACACAGATGGCGCTGGCCTGTTTTTTTCTGCTCAGTAGAGTACTTGAAATTTAGGGGACAAGGCTGCAGATCTTATAGCTTCATAAGTATCAATGTGGTGAAGTAGACACCTTACAGACATCTGTGCAGGTAAAATGACAGCATGGAATGGGGTCCCCAGAGGTCATTGTAATTGAAAGTCAAATTTTAGCAGGGTTTCCATTCTGATTACATTTTGTTGAGGCTGTTAAAGTAGAGTGCGTTGTTCTGACAGAAGGGGGCAATTCAATGGAAGTGTGTTGGGTGGAGGTAGAATGTTATCTGATCCCAGGTTGTCTGCCACGTTGTTCTTCCTGGAGAATTGATGAAGGTCATTAAAATGTGGTTTGAAGGTAAATGTTCCTGGTGCCAGGATTTCAGATCAGTCACTGTGAGAAGTTACTAAGTGCTTCAGAAACACTGAGCTGGATGTATATTTACCTAAGACAAAGATGCACAAACAAATATTTAATATATGCAGTTTGAAAATCCCCCAAGGGGCTATTAATTCTCTCAAACTTTAGTTCTCTCCCCCATTTCTCCTTTTCTTCCTACCTATATGCAGTGTTAATGAAAAACGTGCGTGAAATGTTCAACTTGAGGTTCTCCCTCAACTTCTATATGTTCCATGGTGGCACCAACTTTGGCTTCATGGGTGGAGCTGCATCTTTAGATAATTATCTCCCTATGGTCACCAGCTATGGCAAGTACTTGTCCCCAAAGTTGTCTCCAACCTAGGCCAACCCACCATTTGACACTGGAGCTTCCTAGGGTGGGCTTCTGAGAATAGTCTCCGGAACTGTTCATCTATTTTGCCTTTAACGTATGCTGGAGATTGAGAGTTTGATATTTGTTCTTTTGACAGTACTAGAATTTATCCACCGCTAGAATATAGGCTGTGTGGGACTTTGCCAGCAGAGAAATCAATAGCTTAATCTTTCCATCCACTGTGCAGATCCTTGTTATTAGAGATTCGTTGCAAACCTGTTACTTTGGATCTCTTAGTAGCACCAGGGTATTGTCTTCCCCTATCTCCAGCTCTACTAAGAGACCAAGTGAAAAGTCAAGGGTGAAAGAAAGAAAGGAGTTTGGTTAGAAATTGAGTAGGAAGGAGAAGCCTCTGGATTAGAGCAGCCTTATGCTCTCAGCCAGGGCTTCTTAGATATTCAGAGACTGGTGCTATTTGCCTCCGATGGAAAGGGCTGGAAAGCATGGCAGATGTCTCCTGTTTTGGACTAACTGGGACTTGGCATTTTCTTGTCTAATGCCGAAAGTTTTTCCTCCCAATGCTGCTGTATTAAGGATCCTTTTGCTTAGTACTAAGCTCTCATTCCCTTCTTTTGGTGAAGCTGTGGCTTTCTTGGGGAAAGTGACAAATTTCTTTATATTTTTCAGACTATGGGGCACTGCTGACAGAGGATGGAGAATATACACCTGAGTATATTTCATTTCAAGAGTTTTTTAGCTCTGTTATAGGTACCCAGCAACAACCTCAATCCGAATGATAACTCAGCTCCTCAAATGGTCTCTGTCCTGTGAAGAGGGGGGTGAGGGAATGGATAGAGATGTTCCTTTGGGGAGATGTCCGACTTGCTCAGTTTATTTGATCATTGGGCACTGGGCATTCAAATCTGTGCAAGATGCAGGGCCCGCTGTCTAGGTGCCCAACGTCTAGGGCCATGTTGCTTAGTCTTGGCTGCACATCAGAATCCTCTGTGGAACTTTTAAAAGCCAGAGGTGCCAGACCCTTCCCAGAGCTGTTAGATAATTATGTCTTGGTTGAAGTGGGGAGAAAGGGGCAGAATCTGAGTGCGTGTGTTTTCCCATTGGATGTTAGGAGATTGTGATGTGCAGCTGGGGCTGAGAACTATCAGTCCAGGAAAGGAATTGATGTGCCACCTGCTTTTCCATGACAGCAGGGCACCCTGCCTCAGAGCCTATAGATATGAGAGGAATCCCACTCAATTACTGCCTGCCTTATGACTTCCTGGAATTGGGAAGGCATGCCCTGTGACTGGGCCCTTTGTTCTTGGTGGCTTTGGGATAGCAGAGTACATTGTGCCCTTGAATGGGGATGGGGGAGGATCCTGGGATGGCCCAACCTCCTGTCTTTTGTTGCAGAGGTTCCCAAGCCCTACCAACCAGAGTCTAGACCTAAGGCTGTATATAAGTCAGTGATAGCAGCGTACTACATATCACTGTGGGACATCCTGCCCTACCTGGATGAGGTAAGCATTTCTTGGGCATAGAAGCATGGCATAGCTTTTGGACAGGAGAGAGAGGAGGGAAAGGCTTAGCTCAAAGAACAGGGAGTAAATTATTGGGGAACAGAAAGCAATCCTTAGCAGTTTTAGTTCCTTCTCCTAATTTTACAGTTAAGAATAAGAAACCTAGAATAAGAACATTTGAATTTGAAGAAACAGTGTAAACATTGCAGGATACTGGGAACATGCCTTTCATAGCCCAGCTGAGAAAAGATCCCCTGCCTTCTGAAGATGGTTAGAATGAAGGTACACTGGCTGGATCTAGGGCAATAATTTTTACACTTTTATATTAGTAGAGGGACCCTTTCTTATTTTAGTAGAGGGATTCTTTCTTCACCAGTAGAGGGACCCTGGTGAAATCAGGGGTGGTAGTTCTGAGGCTCTGTACTTTCATCCTCCCTAAGGGTCAGCCATCCCCTCTCTAGGCTGGTCCACTTGCCACTTCTGACTTACCCTTGGGGTTCGGAGGAGCACGGTTTGAAAACCACTAGTCTAGAGGAAACCCTGCCTAGCTGTTCATATAACACTTACTGGACACTAATGTTTGAGGAACTGCATTATCAAGATGTTGTTTTAGGGAACTTCTAGTCTAATGGGTAGGAAAGTTAAGTAGAGTAGAGATTGGAGGGTCATAGGTTCTATGGTAGCGGAATGGCAGCAGCACATCGTTGTTAAGGGGACATAGTGTTGGTTAAAGAACACAAGCTCTGAAGTCAGACTGGGTTTGAGTCCTTGCTCCAATATTTCACTTAGAGAGGTCATGTAACCTCTTCTACCTAAGTTTACTCATCTGTAAAATGAGGCTAATAATTTCACCTACCTCATAGGATTGTTGTGTGGATTGAACAGGTAATATCTGTACCTGGCACATAGGAAGTGCTAATGTGTGCTAGCTGTTGTTATTATTATAGAGATGTGCTCAGAATGCTGGACAATCACAGGACCCAAGATTATATCCCGGTCGAGGTGATTTTGAGATCCAAAGGATGAATAGGAGCTAATGAGAGGACAGCAGGGCAGAGTGGGAGAGGTAAAAGAGTTTGAGGGACAGTGGACACCATTTATAAATGGTAAGACATGGAAGAAATTGCATGTTTGGGGAGCTGTAACTAGGACTGGAGTGAAAAGTCTTTGTGGGAGAGCGGTGAGTAGGGAGCCAGGCACCACACAGTGGAGGGCCTTTGTGGTTTTGTTTTTAAATTTTTCTCGTGGAAGTTTGAAAACATAAACAAAAGCAGAGAAAACAGTAGTGAACCTCCCTGTGCTCATCACCCAGCCTCAACTTTATCAATATGTGACTAATCTTGTTTCATTTATAGCCTTATTCTCCCTCCTCAACTCTTTACAAGATTATTTTAAAGCAGATCCTAAACATCATGTAATTTCAGCTGTAAATAATTCAATATGTATCTCAAAAGATAAGGATTCTTTTTGAAAAACATAAGTACAAACTCATTATCACCCTTAATAATAATGATGATGATGATGATGATGCTGATAGAAATAATAAGAATCCCTTTATGTCAGTGATTTCCTGGGAAATGTTTAGCACCTGGCTCTCTGGAAGAAAAAACTCTGATTAGTAGGGTTTGCCAATTCTGTGGTGTAAAAACTCCCATTATGGGTAATTTCAAGCTAGTTACATGATGAAACTGAATACAGAGTTCGGAAGAGATGTGCACAGTTGGCTCTCATGAGCTAGTACAAACTGGCTATAGCATACCACCACATAAAATCATAAAATAGCCATTGCTCAAATTTTATCAATTATGTCATAATTTTTTTAGCATTAGTTTGTTAATATCAGGATCCAAATTAGGTCAATTACACATTACACTTAGTTGATATGTCTCTTTTAATCTAAAGATTTTTTTCCCTTCTTTTTGTTAAATTTATCTGTTGAAGAACCTGGAGTTGCACTATAGAATTCCCTACATTATGAGTTTTGCTGATTAGATCCTCATGCGTCTGGTAATGTGTCTTTATATTCTCTGCATTTTCTGTAAACTGGTAGTTAGATCTAGATGCTTGATGAGATTTAAGTTAGGTGGTGTTTTTTAAAATTGTTTGCAAGTATACTTTGTAGGTGGTGCTATTGTACTTTTTATGCCTTATATCTCAGGCACGTAATGGCTGATTGTTTCTGTTTTCATAATTGATCAGTGGGTTCAGGTGTTGTTAGTCATGATTAATGTTATTATTATTATTATTAGGCTAGTCATTCATTATTAATTTTCCTCTCTTTTACCTAATGATTTTAGCAGCCATCGATGATTATTGCCTATATCCATTATTTCATTAAGTCTTTCGAAATGGTATCATTCTAATTCTATAATTCCTTCTGCATTTATTCATTTGAATTCTTCTATATAGAGGAACTTTTCTTCACCAGTTGTCTTGGTACCTTGATATATAGTTTGTACAGAAAAGTCAGGATAAAAGTACAAGTATTTTCTTTTATCAGGACAGTGAATTTATTCCTGTATATCCTCCAAAGGTAGCCAATGAGGTGTTTTGCTGTTGTTGCTCTTTGTTTGATTATAAACTCACAAATTTTTAACACATTTAAAATGTTTCTACCCCACTACAGTCCTTCTTTTTGATGTTCAAATTGTCCCATCTTAGACCAGCCGCAGGAAATCCTTTCACTTGGCTCCTGTGTCCTCTTGACATAACTCCAGTAGCTTTTGATATTTTCTTTGCTTTTTGGTTCCCAGGATGTTTCAGGCTGTGTAGCTCCACAGACTTGGAATCATCTCTTTCTCCAAAGAGTTCTGAAGGACTATGTTTTTATGCTAAGAAATGCGAACATTTCCCTGAAAGTTATGGGAAGCTATTTTAAAGCAGGGCTGAGAATCAGATGACCAGCTTTGCATTTCAGAAGGATTTCTTTGGCAGCTCTGTGAGGGATGGATTAGAGTGGGGCCATGCTAGAGCACTGAAACCAAATAGAATTCCATTGAAGTTGAGCTTAGATAACGGGAAGGAAGAAGAAGGATTAGTGAAACAGATATTTAGATTCAGACTATGTTGGAGGTGATGACTGGTTGATGGGGGATGTTGAGGAAGAGGAAGAGGGACAGGACGTTGTCCATGCTTTTTACCTTTTTTGACTGTATTGCTCTTTGGAAAGGAAAAAGAATAGGATGGGGAAGTGTGGTAAATATAGTTTGGGAGATATTGCACTGGAAACATCTATGGACTTGCAGATGGAGAAGTCCAGTAGACATGAGGGTAAACAGATGTAGTGTGAGAGAGTGTAGATTCATGAATAATCATAGTCAGTTACACCACACATTAGGATGATTTCTCTTAGACATTGTATAAAGGAAAAAGAAGAGAAGGCCACAGTAGACAGACTCTGGCACACTTGGGTTGGGATTCCTGAAATCAGGAGTCTAGTCCAGGCTCCATCATGAATTGATGAGCAAGTTGAACAAATCATTCCCTTTTTTTGACTTCAGCTATTCCATCTAAAAAATAAGAATACATCACTGGCTAGCACGTGCAGAGAAATATGAGGTTGGTTTGAAAACAAAAAGGGCAATTTATATGTGACACTTAACCATGATTATCATTAATTATTCATTTTTTATACTTTTGTCCCCAACACTCTTAGGGCCATTTATTTGGAGAAGTGGGCTTTGGGCGGGGGTTTCTTTGGGCAGTTTCTGAAAATTTTTTCTCCAGCCTGACCCTTCAGCCTGGTTTTGCTTCTGTTTCTGCCACAGCCCATCAGGTCTGCCAAGCCCATCTGCATGGAGAAGCTGTCTGTGAACCAAGGGAGTGGTCAGTCCTATGGGTACATACTTTATGAGACTGTCATCACCACTGGAGGCCTCCTCACCTCAAGGGGTCATGTTAAAGATCGGGGTCAGGTAGGGGACAATAGATGGGTCCCAGTGGCACTTCTCTGCTAGTATGACTCAGTGATGTTGCTGAGGCGAATGTCAAACTGATAGTCAAATCTCTCTTTGAGCTTCAAAAAGTCATCACGGTTTCTTAACCTCTGTCCCTTCAGTGACACATTTTATATGTAAGCTACTGCTCTTGTAGGTCTAAGGCATGTAAACATTCCCAGGGAGGATATTCACTGAACGCTCGTGGGAGTTGATGGTGTTTTTTAACGAGGCTTGGGAAGAGCTTCAGAAGTCCCTGTACTTATGCACAGCAACCCCTAACATTTACGTAGCACATTACGGTTGGCTCTCCTCATTTCATTCTCAAAACACCCATCGAAGATATTTATTACAAATGAGGAAACCTCAGAGAAGTTAAGTGGCTTTCAAAGGATCTTTGACTAGAAAGTACCAGAGGTGAGGTTAAAGACTTCATCATCACACTCCAAATAAAGAGCTGTTTTCTACAGGTCTTGATGAAATTTCCTTGCTCTTTCTACTCTCTGTGCTGTCTATATCACCTTCTAAAGCTTCAAGTACTCCTTTGTGACTCCAGCTCTCCCCTACTCCTCCTTAGTTACGGACCCGTATTACTTGCTGTATGAACATTTCTCTCCACTGAGATATATGTTCCATTGGCGTCTCAAACTCATCATGTCCAAAACCAAATTCGTTAGCTTCCTAAATAAACCTCATCCTATATTCCTCACATCAGTTCATGGACTCACAGCCTCCCAACCCAAAAATGCTGCTGCCATCCCTCCCCTTACCCTTTCTTCACACCTTACTTTCAGCTGGCCCCTGTATGGTGCAACATTACTCAATTGGTCTTCTTTTAAAATCCATGCTGTCTTTGCCTTATAATCATCTTTGTATCTGCTTCTGCTATTGTTAGAACCTCATAACTGCTCTTCCTGTTTCAGAGAGCTCATCTTTATCCTCTTCCTTGCTAAATCCCTCCCTCATAGTGCCACTAGACTTTTCTTTCCAAGGTAGAGATCTCGTCATGCCCCTTCCCCACTTACAATCTTCCATTCATTTCCCCAGTCACCAGCATCGTGTCTGTGCATTAGCCTGGATTCTGCTGTTGGTTAGGACTTATTATTGCCTTCTCTGTGCTTCCATAGTGGTCTGTCCACAGTTCCATGTTAGCTATTGGGGAGGTTCTAATAATTTCTTTGTGTAACTCTTTGAGTTCCTCAGTGGCGGGGGTTGTGTTTTAACCTTGGTGACCCCTTCCCCAAGGAAATATTTATTCAGTAAGTGTTCAATAAATGGTTATAGAGTATGTAGACCTTGTAGTTCGACTCTAATAAGCTTAAAATGTGAATTCTGTGTGCTGTATAATATTAACATTTATATGTTTTTAATACTTGTGACTTTTAATTTTTTTAGTTTCCTAATCAAATTTTATTTGAAAAATTGTGATGTAACTCAATCTAAGGGGCAAATTATGTATTCTTCTCTGGTCCTGCATGGCTAGAGTAGAGAGTCTTCTGGTTGGCTTAATCTGGGGCTGAACAATATAGTAGGTAATTGAAAAGAAATGGATTTACATTCAGGACATCGATAAAATCAGATATAGTGGTGGCAACAGCCTTTCCAGACAAGAATCTGGGAGAACCTGGCAGAGTGGATTCAATATGGAGGGGAACTAACAGGGCAAGGCAGGCAGGCTGCTGCTCCACCTCAAGTCCCCGCATTCTCTTTTGCCATCATTTCTTTCACAATATTCATTCGTTCTCTGCCTTGCTTCTTTCCTCATTCCCTGCAGGTCTTTTCAGTTTCTTTCTTTCCCTGCTTGCCCTACCGTGGAGCCAGGGCCCAGATTTGGTATCCAGACACTGTTCTCCAGACTTTGCCTTATACGTCTCATGACTGGACTGCTTTAAACATGCTGAATTTTTGTGAACTCATGGTCAGCTTGTAATATTCTGGGAGACAGAGCTAATCATTGCCTAGAACTTGCTCTTTGCTTTGCTTTTCCAAGGCCCCTATTCCCCCTTTCCTTCTGAGGACCTAATCATGTTTTACTCTTTCTTTGGCAGGTGTTTTTGGAGGAGAAGTATATAGGAGTCCTGGATCATTCCACTAATCAGCTGACTATTCCCAGGAAAAATGTATATAATCCAGTGTTGTTAACGGACTAATAGTTCTAGCACCTGCCTAGGCCCTGGGCTCAGTTGTAAGCGTGGCCTGTCCCTGGGATTACCTGTTTTCTCTCCCGCTGTCCTCTGATTGCTCCTTACACAGAAGCCCAATAGGGGTGAGAGAGAGCTGTGTTTCTCGAAGGTACAGGTATATACGGTTTGAGTGAGCAGAACTTTTCCATGTTGGATGTTTTCTGCTCAAAAAACTCGAGGTTGGTCACCAGCCTCAACAGAGTCTCTGGAAAAATGTTCAAGTGACTCTTTATTTCCTGAAAGGCCTGACACAGGAGGGCGGAGGTGGGGAGATACATAGGAGGAACAGGGGCCCCAGGGTTGACTTGACCCAGAGCTGGAGGTCTGCAGGGTTTTCAGGTCTGCTCTCTGTCATCACCCTGCTTATGGTCTCATCTTAGTTTCAGGGGAGACCTAAGAGGTCTACAGAAGAGTGCCTGAGTGTTCTCCACTCTGGCTGGTCTGTCTTGAACAGGGCCACAAGGATTACCTGACATTGACGATCCTGGTGGAGAATCAAGGCCGGCTCGCCTATGGGCAGGAGATCAATAAGGAGAGAAAAGGTGAGCCCCAGAATGGAGAAACTTGAGACCTCGAGGCACCAAATTCCTGTTGCTCTTACCCCAGGCTGAGGACAGCTATGGCCAGGGATACGGTGTGGAAGAGAGCAGGATCTTTTGGCCATGTGTATAAACTGTGGCAAAGTCTTGCTTCAATAGGAAATGATGGTGGTGTCCTTTCTTCTAGGTTCCCTCAAATTAGTGTGTTCTCTAATTACCAAGTCAGCGGACTGCCTGTCTTCTTCTGGGAGGGTTTTGAAGAAGGCTTAGAAATGCCCTTGGAGAATAAAATGATTTGAGTCCCTCCCTAGGAATATTGATTTTTCCTTCTCTGGAGCCCAGTGCCTGTGTCCTGTCCTCTCCCTGGCCTCCTGGGCACGGAGTCATACACTTTCCTTCTCCAACTCCAGGTGCTCCGACCTCCGTAAGAGTTAGTTAGCCTGAACTGCTGTGCTGGCCAGACCTGGCAGGAATTGCAGGGACTTCTGCACTGTTAATGTGCAAGATGTAGGCGCAACTGTAACAGGTGTACTTGTACACTCAGAAGGAAGAATCCATGTAGGATTTTGCAGAAACCTTCTATCCTCTGAGGCCAGAAAAGCATCCCCCTTCAAGGGGAGCCCTGGCCACAGCCTGTTCACATCTCTGTGTCCTTCCCACCTTTTTTATGCTCCCTTTCTTCCCTCTTCTACAGGTTTAACTGGGGATATCTATCTGAACAATTCTCCATTAAGAAAATTTAAAATCTACAGCCTGGAGATGAACACTAAATTCCTAGAAAGGTGGGTGCCAGACCATCGACTCAAGGTGATTGATGAAAGATGGTAAGCATTTAGAAATGGAAAGCAGCTCAGATACCATCCAGCCTAACCCCCTCAGTTTTCACATAAAAGAGCTCGAGATCCAGAACGTTGAAGGAAATGACCCCAAGTTTCATGGTTGTCTAGGGTAGAGTGGTAACCATCCCTTCGTTTAGCCAACTCATGGTCTGCTGTTTTATTTACTGCATCATGCACCCTGAAAGGCATATGCCTGTGCTATAGAAGGGCCGCTGGCCTCGGGCAGAGAAGAGAGTTATCTCAAAAGTCACTGCTGAGCTGGCCCTGATGGCCTAGTGGTTATAAAGTTCAGCGCTCTCACCGCTTTAGTGGCCTGAGTTCATTTCCTGGTCGTGGAACCACACCACCCATCTGTCAGTTGCCATGCTGTGTTGGCGGCTCCCATAGTAGAACTAGAAGGACTTATAACTAGGATATACAACCATGCACTGGGGCTTTGGGGAGAAAAAACAAAGAGGAAGATTGGCAACAAATGTTAGCTCAGGGCAAATCTTTCTCTGCAAAAAAAAAAAAAAAGTCACTACTGACACGTTATAAAGAAGGGTATAACCTTTCCACTGGTGCTTGACTCACTCTTAGGGCCCTTCGTAACATCTGGAAACCAGTCTTATACCAACTTCGGGGCCCTGCCTTCTTCCTTGGCATCCTGAGAATTGGTAATTACCCCAAAGACACCTTCATAAAACTGGAGGTTAGTGATATTTCTCCCCTGTCCATGTCCCCCCGCAACTTCCCATCCCAAAGAAAACTTTGTGAAAAAGTTCCTTGATGCATGGGTTCTTCTCTGTGTCAGGAAATCTTGGCTCCCAGGGACCTCAGCCACCCCACAGCTGTGTGGGAGGCTCCCCCTTCCCTGGTGTTAACTAGGGTGGGGGTAGAAGCTAAACAAACCTGACAGAGACGTGAGTGGTGTGTTCTAGTGGGGACAGCTGTAGAATCCACTGCACGGGGAATTTAATGAGCATGACCCACGTTCCCCAGCCATAATCCAAGATGTTGAGACCCTTAACCCCCCATGAACTCACCATCCACCTTGTAGTGGGGATATTGTAGGTGAGATTCTGATGCGCTCTTACTGCCACACCCAAAATTCTACAACTCTAGCTGTGTTTTGGACCCAGCATGTTTTGAGGAATACCTGATGGTAAATGGAATACCTTTCCCTGACTTGGAGCAGATACAGGGAAATGAGTTAGAAATCATTCCCTTCCTTCTTGGGGCCTGGATGTTTAGCCAACCCCAGGCTAGGGGCAGTGGTACAGAACTCTCCAGGTCACCTCCCATCTAGGGCTGTAGTTGGTAATCCATCTTATCTGGGTGTGTCTCTGAGTATGACCTGGTGTGTTTATGGTGTGTGTGTGTGTATCTTCACCCCTTGTGTCTTTACATCTAGAACTCAGATCTTGAATCCTCCATTCCAATCTTTTTCAGGGCTGGACAAAAGGAGTAATATTCATCAATGGACAAAACCTGGGGCGCTACTGGAATATAGGTCCCCAGGAGACGCTTTACCTTCCAGGACCCTGGCTTCGACCTGGGTCAAATGAGGTGAACTCCCCCTACTGGACCACCCACCTCCCAGTACACACCGCATGGACTCTGCCTTGTCTCAGAGGCAGAACTTGAATCTTACGGCCACCCCACCTTCTTCTTCTTGGCAGATCATCGTGTTTGAGGAGTTTAAACCTGGCATAGAGATCCAGTTCACAAACATGTCTCATCTAGGTATGGTATTCTGGAGGGTAATTTGCAGCATCTGGAACAGTCTTTTCACATCTTTCTAGTTGAGATAGAGATAAAGAAGGCAGAATGTGCAGTATCTCCCGGGAACCTGAAGCCTTCCTCACTGCCCTGCGTGAGAGCTGGATTTTCTCTCATACCTGTCACAGCTCCACTCGTGCCCTCCTGGTTTAGGATGACTTAACTAGTCCAATCCTCTAACAGCCCTAACCCAACTCTTTTGGCCTCCCTTCCTTCCATACATTTCTACTGTGCTTCTGGATCCCTGTATTACTGTAAACCAAGGTCCTAACGTCCTCCGATTCTTAGCTTTTTTGAAACTTACCATGTTTGCTACTGCTTTTTCTCATGCTGCCATATTCAATAAGTCGATAACTCCAAGACACTGTTTCTAGAACCCTTTCTAAGGTCACCACGGGCAGGGGTGCGTGGCGCAGTCACAACAGCTGGAGTGTTGCAGACTTTCTGTGCCTGCCCGTGTGGATGTCTGGTGTCTGTGTGCTCAGTCTCCCTTGCTCCTTTGTTGGTAGCAGGATCCAGACATCATTTTGGAGAATCACCCACTCTCCCTTCCTTAGAGTCTTTAGGGACTGGTCATCAAGCTGCTCTTCCTCTCCGCCTGCAACTGTCCCTCGCTCTCGGGTGGGCATGTGACGTACAATATACCAATCAGACTTTCTTTTCCAGGATATTGAATCTTGAGTGGCATGACATAAAGTAGGAAATTGATTGAGCTGAGTCATTTCAACAGTGGGGCCGTGAGTAACCTACCAGTCCTGACACCTAGGTCTCTGGAACTACCCTGGCTTTCCCGTTTATCCCAAGCCCTGCTTGGGGTCTGCCATCCACTTCCTAACCCACCAGTACATTCCTCTTTCGGCATAAGTTAGCTAACTGGTTTCTGATGCTTATAAGAAAATAAACCTACTCAATGCATACCCTTTGTCATATTGCTACAATAAAAGCTATTTGACCACCAAATAAAATGTTGAAAAAAAGGAGAAGATGCTCAAAGTACTTGACCCCACAAATGTAAGTTTGAAGCAAAAGTGATCTTTCTAAGAAGTCAAATAAAATATAAAAGTTAATGCAGAAAAAAACAGGCAGTTCGTATATGCTTTCTGTTTTCAGTGTAAAAAAGAGTGTTTTCCTTTTACTCCCTAATGCTCGTTCCAGACCATTGCTTTTCCATACTCAGGTGACAACCCTGCTTCTGTGAGACTTATGCCAACCAACTGCCCCATCCGGTGCCTCTCCTTCTCACCTTAGCATTCTTTACCTACCTCCTGGTTATCACCTTTGGCACCTGATTCCTAGGTCTTCTAGATTCCCTGTTCTACTCCCAGTCCTCCTATGGTGGGAACCCTTCTGAGCCATAGCAAAGGGCAGAGAGAGCCATCTAAGTGCCTGGAGTGAATCAACTTGGTGGCACAGCCTGAGCAGGCAGAGGGAAGATCAATGAAGCTTCACTTTTTCAAGCCACTGCAAGTACCAGCATGGTGTAAACAGGCCCTGGGTTTAGCTGACAGGCTTCCAGAGAGCTTGAAAGAGTGAGTAGCCCTGGAAGTGAGTTGGCAGTGCATCAAGGGCTGCCAAGGAGACTTCTAAGCCAAGACCAATAGAAATCACAGCCAGATCTCAGACGCTCTGTGTCAGGGAGCCAGGGTCAGGCCAGTTGTACAGGGGGCTGTTGCGGCCCCCAATCAGCCTGGAGCATCAAGATCATGAGTACACTTCTTGCATCCGTACATGCCAGGGGGCCAGCAGCACCCGTGTGGAGAAGGACCTCCACGGTCCAAGGAAGTTGTAGGGCAAGAGCTCCCTGCTCAGTGCTTCCTTCACTGCTACACACCACTCCACATCTCTTGCTTCTCCTTCCCACCATCACCAGAGCAGAAAAGTATCAGGTAGTCCCATATCATAGCCTCTTGCTTCCATAGAGCATAAAACTTAGTGTGCGTCACAGTCACCTGGAGGGCTTGTTAAAACTTGCACTGCTGGGCCCCATCCCCAGAATTTCTGAATCAGTAGGTCAGCGGTGGGGCCTGAGGATTTGCATTTCTACCAAGTTCCCAGGTGATGCCAGTATTGCTGGTCTGAGGACCTCACTTTGAGAACCTCTGTCATCGAGCAGGATCTCAACCTCAGCACTGTTGCTCTTTGGGGCCAGATCATTCTGTGTGGTGGGGCCGTCCTATGCATTGTAGGATGTGGAGCAGCATCCCTGGTCTCTACGCAATAGATGCCAATAGCACCCTCCCTAGTTGTGACAACCAAAAATATCTCCAGACATTGCCCAATGTCCTCTGGGGGTCAAAATCCCTCCAGGAGAGAACTACTGCCATAGAACATACCTGGTTCTCCTGATCAGAAGTGCCACTTTCTCTCACCCACAGGAAAGCACTAGGAGTTGGGGCCTGATAGATTGACCCTTTATAAATAAAATGCAAATCTGGTGGAATTTGGGAAATCTCTCAAGACACTAGTCTATCTGTGACTCTATTTTTCTTCTGCATAATCCTAGTTCTGAATAACAGAAACAGCTTATTCTCTTTTTTTTTGCACTACTTTTGAAAGAAATTTTAATATTCTCATAGATAAATGGATTCTTAAATTGGGGTAAGGTTATATATGAAGGCGGCTGAAGAGAAAATCACATTACACTTTTACAAATATACACCTATAAACAAACAAACGTGATATGGTGTGATGCTACAAATTATGTACATAAAAGGTACAGCTCATTACTGTCAGGCCCTCTTTCCTCGTCTTTGTGATCCCTTAGGGTTCAGGTAATATGCAGAGGACTCAGGTCGGCCAAGTACTCTCACCTAATCCACGTTATCCTACTAGAAGAAGCTTTAAGGGTGATATAATGTTGTTTTTTCCTGCTAACTGAATGTTAGTGCCTTAGGTAGAATACCAGGTTAATTATAGACAAAATATAAGAGCTACAAGTTTCTCTATCCAAATAAGTTGGATTGTGAATGTTCGTCCTTCTTTAATTGTTGTCTTTAGGGTCTATCAGTGTTAGGCATAGAGGAGATACTCAAGTAAGCAAAATTGAGTCACATTGAATATTTCCACCTAGATTCTGCCACAAACCTCAGAGGGACTAAATGCCTGTTGTATTGAAAGTGAATTTTGATTCTGTTTTCCCAGGGGCAGGTTGAAGAAGTTGGAGAGAACTCTGTCCTTTTCTCTCGTATCATACAGTAGTCCTTGCGTAGTCAGAAAGATTTCAGTCCACAAGTTTCTACCCTTCTAAGCACAGGAACACAAATCTGTCTGGGAGGGGAGTGTAGAACCTGAAACCATTTGTAACCTGTTAAAAGCTTAGCTGGTTTCTAGAAGCCCTTGCCCTTCATCCTTTTATTTTTATATTTTTTTGGGAACCTAAATTTATGCAGAAAATGCGAGTTCTGCTCGTTTTGACAAATGCGTGGAAGGAGAGAAAGGGAATCTGCATGGGGGCCTGGAAGGTCTTTGTTTGTTACCCCTCTGTAGAGTTGCTGTCTTTCAGATGACTCCTTAACCCCCATTCTCATGCCCGTGTGACGCCATCGAGGGCACAGACAGCAACAGCCAGTTCCAGACCCTCCTGCCACCTGAAGTCCAGCCAGTAGCTGACTCAATACCCTGACTTGCTGACTGATGTTTGGATGAGCAAAGGCTCCCCTGTTTTGACTGACTAGAAGTCCTGAGTGGCAGCCCTCCAATTCTAGAGAGACTGCAGAACTGACCCAACAGAGAACCTTGCATTCTGGGTACAGGAATGATATATTTATTTGTCACCTAACCATCAGAGCACCATCCTCTGAAATGACTTTAGTAACTGTTACCCAGTGACTAGATGACAGTTGCTCTGTGACTGTATAGCAAAGACCAGAAAGAAGGCTCCTCAGGGAGACAGGCGGCTGTGCCCTCCAGGAGCTGGGGCACTTCTCTGCTTGATGACCCCTCGTGTAGTAAGAGTATTTTCAGTTAAAAGCAGGGCATTTCCTCTTGTTAGTTTGCTTAATGAAACCTATGAAAAGGAAAACTGAACCCAGGTCTTCTGGAAAGAAGAGATTATGTTAAATAATCAGCCCAGGATCTAAACAGAGTTGAGAAAGGGGCCTGGTGCTATTGACCTGTGTGAGGGAGTGGTCTTCACTCCTGGTGTGTATCAGAATCACCTGGAGAGCTAATAAAACATGGCGGCCCAGGCTTACTGAAGTAGCATGGGGCCAGGACCTCTGTATTCTTGCCATGTTCCCCAGGTGATGCTGATAAACACCAGAATTTTAGAACCACTGCTCTAGGGCACTAGGGCACTGTTCTAAACTTGGTGCACATTGGAATCATCTGGGAGATTGGTAAAAATAATCTTAGGGTACCACCTCCAAAAATTTGATAGCTATGGAGTATAGCAAGATGTTGAGTTTTTAAAAAAATTTTAAATATTTATTAATTCATTTAAAAATAATAACAGTGAAGCCACTATCTGTTTTATGAAAAGTAAAAAGTATATTTTTAAAGATTCAGTGAGAAATATGTCATTGTTTTACATTTTTTCAAATATCTTTATGCTTAATAGATGACAGCTGGATTCTCATAACTGCTTCTGCATTCAGTCTGTTGTGATCTGTTGTTTTGGTTGAAGTGTGTGAAGAAATTCTGGCCTCACACAGACGTGTAACTGGAAAAGGAAGGGTATTTTAACAGCCTTTATAGATAATTATTATGGATATTCTTCCTTGGTAGTACCCCAAAATTTTATAAGAAGTAGTTTCTTAAAGTTTGGTTGAAATAAGGAATCTAAATTCATGCAGATCAACTTTTTGAACTCAGTTACATTAAAATCCTTTGGTCTAACTTTGCATGGATCTTTTATTCAAGTATTATCTTGTAACAGCATGCATTGATTCACTAAATTATGCAGATCTTCAAAATATTGACACATTTCATTATCTGATCAGAAAAAATTCAGTCGTTAATATCACCACCAATCTCATAGGAAAAGTCTTAATATTTGAGAAGTTGTCAAGCTACTGGTGGTGGATACAAGTTTTCCACAATACTAATTTTTAATCGAAAGCTCGAGTTTTTTCATTAGCAACAAATACTGTCAGTTGTTATCCTTCAAGTGACAGGCTCACTTCGTTCATTTGTTTTTGCTCTTTTTAAATGATTGTTTTATCAAGATATAATTCACGTAACATAAAATTAATCCCTTTAAAATATAAAATTCAGTGTTTTTTAGTATATTCACAGTTGTGCCACCATCACCACTATCTAACTTTAGAACATTTTCATAGCCCCATACCCATTAGCACTGACTCCTCATTTCCTTCTCCTTCCAGCCCCTGGAAACCACTAATCTACCTTCTGTCTCCATGGATTTGCCTGTTCTGGACTTGTCATGTAAATGGAATCATACAATATGTGGTCTTTTGTGACTGGCTTCTTTCACTTAGCGTAATGTTTTCAAGTTGCATCCATGTTGTAGTGTGTATCAGCACTTCATTCATTTTTTTGGTTGAATAATAAGCCGTTGTATGGATATACCACATTTTGTTTATCCTTTTATCAGCTGGGGGACATTTGAGTTGTTTCCACGTTTTGGCTGTTAATAATAATGCTACTGTGAGTATTTGTGTGCAAGTTTTTGTGTAGACATATGTTTTCATTTCTCCTGGGTATATACCCAGAGTGGAATTGCTGGATCATATGGTAACTCTATGTTTAACATTTTGAGGAACTGCCAAACTATTTTCCAAAGTAGCTATGCCACTTTACAATCCCACCAGGAATGTATGAGATTTCCAATATCTCAACATCCTTACCACATTGTTAGCTGTCATTTTGATTTCAGTTATTGTAGTGGTTGTGAAGTAGTACTTCAATGTGGTTTTGATTTGCACTTCCCTAATGAATGATAATGTTGAGCATCTTTCATGTGCTTATTCGCTATTTGTTTATCTTCTTTGGAGAAATACCTGTTCCAATCCTTTGCTATATCCTTTACTATTTTTAAAATTTGGATCATTTGTCTTTTTATTGCTGAGTTATAAGAGTTTGTATATTTTAGGTATAAGTCCCTTATCAGATATGTGATTTGCAAATATTTTCTCCCCTTCTGTGGGGTTTCTTTTCATTTTCTTTTTTTTTTTTTTAATTTTTTGTTTATTGCAGTAACATTGGTTTATGACATTGTAAAAATTTCAGGTGTACATCATTGTACTTCTATTTCTGCATAGATTACATCATGTTCACCACCCAAATAC